TTGAGGATCAAACCCAGCGTCCTGCGCATGCCAGGCGAACGCGCTACCGCTTGAGCCACATCCCCAGCCCCACTGTACTCTTTTCTACAATGGTTGTACCATTTTAATTCCTATCAAAGTACACACAAAGATTCCAATTTTTCCACATTCTTGCCAACACTTGCTATTTTCTGTTTTTCTTTTTTCCAATAGTAGCCATACAAATGGGTGTGAGCTGGTGCCTCATGGTGACTGTAAGATGTGGTCTTGCTACATCGCTCAAGTTGGTCTTGACCTCTTGGCCTCAAGTGATCCACCAACTCAGCTTCCTGAATAGCTGGGTCATGCCACCAGGCCCAGCTTTTTTTGTGGTTTTGATGTGTATTTCCTTAATGATTAGTCAAGAGTCTTTTCACTTCCTCATTGGCCACTTTGGGCCATTTTTAAATCAGGTTTTTTGAGTTTTTATTGTTGAGTTTTAGAGTTATCTATGTATTCTGGATATTAACACCTTATCAGAGAGACAACTTGTAAATATTTTCTCCCACTCTGTGGGTTGCCTTTTTACTATGCTGATGTTATCTTTACATCTTTAAATGTTTTTCATGAAGTCCAATTTACCTATTTTTTTTTCTTTTGTTGCCTGTGCCTTTGATGTCATATTCAATAAATCATTGCAAAATTCAATGTCATGAAATGTTTGCCCACATTTTCTCCAAAGAATTTTATAATTTTAGATCTTAGGTTTAGGTCTTTGATCCATTTTGAGTTAGTTTTTGTATCTGATGTGAAGTAAGGCTCATAGAACTCAGGGAAATACTTGACATTTAATTTTAAAATACATTACAAGGGATACAGATATACAGCCAAGTGAAAGAAGTATATGAAAAAGTATGGAGGAAATGGCATGAAATGTTTATGTCTTCTTCACAATCCTCCCCAACTCCCCACAATCCTCCAAGGACCTCCACATATTCAGCAGTGTAGAAGATCTCTGAATCCTGTGGCTCAGGGATTTTTAGAGATACTTCATATCTCAGTCTATTTTCTATTGCTATAACAAAATACCTGTGACCCGATGATTTATAAAGAAAAGGGGTTTGTTTGGGCTGGTGGTTCTGGAGGTTGGGAATTCCAAGAGCATGGTGTCAATTGTGGGAGGCCATCCTCGCACGTGATTTGAGTTAGCTCCCTGGCTAGGCGAGAGGCGCTTAGGCACATCTTATGTCCAGAGCTTTCCCCACCCTTCTCAGATCCGAGGGCTTGTCCATGTGGAGGCATGTCTGACCACTGCCCCAAAGACCCAATCGTCCCCTCTGACCTTGGGATGCTGCCCCCTTTAATCTTCATTGGATGGGATTTTCTCCAGAATTTTTTATTCCCCAATAAAAGTCAACTCCCTGGCGTGTTCTCTCTCTCTCTCTCTCTCTCTCTCTCTCTCTCTCTCTCTCCCCTCTTCAGTAAACCTGGCTACCACAATAGGTGGCTGGCTGGAGGCTGGAGCTAGGAGGAGCCATCCTGGAGCTGGTTTAAAGGTAATTAGAGTCTTGTCTCTTTAATTCAAAACTCCCTAGGGGTTTCTCATGTTTTGAACTTTCATTCATGAAGCTGGTCAAGGGCTAAAGTCAATGATGGACTCATGCTGCTTCAACTAATGGCAGAAAGCAGAAAACAGAAGGGCAAGCTGGCCCAGGGCAAGCTGAAGGGTAGCTTTACTTTGTACAACACATTCTCATAGTAACCAATTCAGTCTCCCAAGAGTGAGAACTTGATCTTGTTAAAAAATGTTAATCCATTTATGAAGGCTGTGCTCCTGTGATCCAAATATTCCCAACGCTAGTGCACTGAGGAAATCGGCTGACAATTTTATTGAGAATTACTTGTATATGACAAGTCACTTCTCTATTATTGCTTTCAAGAGTCTCTCTTTATCTTTTGAAAATCCGATTATCTTATGTTTTGGTGCAGGTATCTCTGATTTTTAACTTAGGAGTTCGTTGAGGTTTTGGGGTGTTTATAATCATGTCTCCTAAATTTGGGGAAGTGTGTGGCCATTACTTCTCCCATTATTGAGCCCCTTCCTCTCCGCTCCTTCTGGACTCCCACAGTGCATAAGTTGGTTGACTTGATAGTGCACCACATGCCCCTTAGACTCTGTTCACTTTTCTTCTTTTTTTCTATTTCTTAGACTCAATTTTCATTATCCTGCCTTTCAGGCCACTGTTTCTTTCTTCAGTCTGATTAAATCTGCCTTTGAATCACTTTAGTGAATTTTAAAAATTTCAATTATTGGGCTTTTTAGTTCCAGGTTTTCTCTTTGGTTTCCTTTTAGGTTCTCTATCTCTTTATTGATGTTTCCACTGTGCTCATACATGATTTTTCTTTTTTTAGTTTATCCAGATCTTCCTTTAGTTCTTTGAGTATCTTTAACATAATTGTTTTAATTCTTAGTTCTCGGCGGACACAACATCTTTGTTGGTATGTGGTGCTGAGGATCGAACCCGGGCCGCACACATGCCAGGCGAGCGCGCTACCGCTTGAGCCACATCCCCAGCCCCCTAACATAGTTGTTTTAAACTGGTTTAAAGCAGAAACCAATGATCAGAATCCAGATCCTAGATATTTGGAGGACAGGGTCATTTTTGTCCACTGTGGCTCCTGCTAGCTTTGTGCAGGGTTCTCCAGGAACACATGATCAACTACCTATCATAGGTCTGAGGGTGGAAAATGGGTAGTTGCTACTGTGATAATAGCTTTAATTGATAAAATTACGTAATTTATCATCTAAGGCTTCCCTTGCAAGTTTCAAGCCTTATGAAGGCTCCAGAATTACAAAACTGTTAGATCAGTCAGATTTTACTAATTTATCTCTAGTCTGGGCTGGAAGACATATTCTGGTGTTTTTTACTCCATCATCTTCCCAGAATCCTAAAAAGTGTTTTTTTCATACCATATATACAAACAGAGATTTGATAAATCGTGGTATAAAGGTGTATTAAGAATTGTAATGCAAAAAAAATTATAAATGTAATGCACTCCACTATTGTCATGTATGTAAAAAATAATAAAAAAATCATAAATGGCCTGTTTGCCTATGGGAGGGAGGTAACATTTTCTTCCACCATCCTAAAGTCTCTGATTGGCACTGATATAAAAACAAAAGTTTACACATTTTAATACATTTTTTTACATGTACCCAGGAGCCCTCACAGGAAAATGAACACCCAAAGAAGTAGTTAGACCTGAATGCTTATATACTAGACTGGGCAAAGAACAGTAAATTGGGAACATGTGACAAGAGGTTGCGCTAGACTAGTTAATTGTAGAGAAGTGACTAGGAATATAAGGGTTAAAAAGATTTACTTGTGTATTATTTCACAATTTCTGTCAGCCTTAACTTCCCATCTCCGGTGATAAAAATGTCTCTTTCCTCTTGGTACAGTGAGGTCATCTTTCACATGGGAATTTCATCTCCTGCCTTCAGGGAGAAAAAAAGGCCAGCGTGCCTTTCTTGTATTTAATGGCTTTAGGCGCCTTTAACAAAATAATCCATATGCCAGAGTATTTGTTTTGAGGTGATATGTTTAGAAGTCCTTCACCTACCCAGTATATAAGTTCTTGTTCTCTCTTTTAAGTTCTTTAATATTTTGAAGGCAATTTAAAAAAAAATTTTAAAGACTTTTCCCCTCACAGATGTGAGTGACTAGTAAAAATCAGATAGAAGTCATTGGATGCAGCTTGCAGGAAAAACCTTCAAAGGTGCTGGCTCTGCTGGTGGGTGAGCCTATCACCCTTACCTCTGTCTCCTTCTGCTGCCTGAGACAAGACTTGAACACAGAGACTGGAAAGACCCTCTTGTACCACAGCCAGTTGAAGGCCAGAATGCGGGATGGCGGAGCCAAAGGATGAAGGTACCCAGGTACATGATGACTGTGGATCTACCACCCTGGGATGCTTTAACTGTTGTGGTGTGAAGTGATAAATACAATCGATACGAGTGTAAGTTATAGGTTATAGATTACTAAAAAATATAGATAGATTACTAAAAAATATAGATTACAGATATAAGATTTTGAAAAGTGAGATATGACAATTATAAAGCAAGAACTGTCGAAGGTCTAAGACTCCATTTTGCTGCCTTCTATTAAAAAAATCTATTACAAGAGCTGTTCCTGAGAAACTGAAATGAAAGTTGTTTTCTTATAATATATTGTTTTATGTACTTCGTGCCCCACAAAATGTAATCAACCCAGGAAGGATATGGTGGTCTTGGTGACCCAAGACTTTGAAGTAGATTCTCACTTGGCTAACCACCTGCTGGAACTCAAGATAAGGTTGTCTAACACCTGCTCAAATCCAAGATGCGATTGTCTTGAGTTGTTGTGCTAATCGCTGTCTTAATCTTCTGTGACTGGCTTGCTTGCATGACGCTAAGAAAAGTCCCTAAGCTATAGTTTTTGTCCTTAAATTCCCAAGACACAGGCCAGGAAGTTGCTTTTCTCCCACAGAGCTTCAGTCTCTATGGGTGGGAGACAGTTCCTGGCCAGGTAAATAAAGCTCTCTTTGGTTTGAATTAGGACATAAGAGTATTTTCTAAAGTATTTTCTAAAGCAGCTCCCCATAACAAAACCAAACTTTAGTTTTAGATATTTCCCCTTAAGAAGCCATAAGTCCCACATTCTCTGCCTGTTAGCTCGCAATCTTGGCTGCTTTGAGAATAATGTGGGGTATTTTAAAACATACTAAGGCTTGGGCCTCACCTTACAAGTGTCTGATTTTACTGATTCGTTCCCTAAACACTGACTTTGTAAAAGTTGCCCCTGGTGATTGCCCTCCGCTCAGCTGATTTCGTGAACCGCGGGTTTCGTTTTTTTCTGGAGCGCTGGTACCCTGGCAGGGCGGGGCTTAGGCCTAAGTGAGTGACAGAGATCACGCGGGATCTTCTGGGGCCAACTAGGCCCCGCTCCCTCCCGCCCCGGCCACGCCCCCGGCCACGCCCCGGCCACGCCCCTGCCCCGGAAGACACTCAAACGCGCCTCAGCCGCCTAGCCTGCTCTGAGAACGCGTATGTGCGCCTGCGCAACGCTGGGCCCCGCGGGTAGTTTGAATTGCGTACCTGGAGCTGTTTCCCGCGATCCGGGTTTTCCACCGAGACTGGAATATCTACAGCTTCCTACCCAGCGGCCAGTGGGCCCTTTGCGCCCCTACCCGCAAGAGGTCGGAGTCTGGTGTTGGGGGGGTCTCTCACCTCGGAAGCGCCGCTTGGCAGGTGGGGACGCGGGCAGCGCCGGGTGGGGCGGAGCACCGGTTGGAGAGTCCTTGGCTTGGTTTAGTTTGAGTGGTTACTTTGTTTGGAGCGGCCCCTTCTCACTTATGCTGGGAGTGACTAGAAACAGTTATTTTCCCTCTCTCCGCCTCATTACCAAACTCAAACTGTGAAGGCCCCACCCCGCCCACCCCAATGCTTCTTTGGGCCCATTTTGAAATTACATTGATTTTTAAAAAATGCATATGTATTTTGCATTTTAAAAGAAAGTATCAATGTTGGCTTATGTGGAAATAATGTTTTGGTCTTAACTGAATTCTTAAGGAAATGACCCAGGTTATCCCCTGTACCCTGTTTTGGAATCCGTTGACTGCTGAAGGGTGGCTCTAAGACTCGTCAGTACTGTGCTTTGGTTAGAAACTGAATTTTGTAGAATTGAAAGGAATTTTTCTTGAGTTTTATACTTTCCTTTCAAGGAACATTGATTTACTCATATTTACTATTCTTGGGTTCTGAAAATAAACAAATTTGTCTAGCTTTTCTTTTTCTAAAAAAATGTGTTTATTTTTTATTCAGAGACTTAAAGGATGGCTTCCTCAGATCTGGAACAATTATGCTCTTATGTTAATGAAAAGATTGGCAATATTAAAAAAACTCTGTCATTAAGAAACCTTGGTAAGTAAAAGATTCACTGACTTTCCATGTACAAAATGCATTGTGATTATTGTTCCTCTTTAAATGATATCTTATGACTGATTAAGTGAATGTATGTAAGGTAATTTTAGATTTTGAATAGTGATTTTTAAATCACTTTGTTGAATATTGCAGAGGATACTTGTGCCGATGAGCTAAATATTCATTAACTTCATTACTTATAATTTTCTGGTGTGTGTGTGTGTGTGTGTGTGTGTGTGTGTGTGTACACCACTAGTAAGATTTGAAATGTATGTGGCATCCATGGTTCTCAACCTTAATATATATGCTAAAAGAAAAGGGGTGGGGGGGAAAAAAAACAACTGAAGTGGAAGATTCAGAGATGGACTTAGTCCATAAACCATCTCCCTGCCTGCTTTGTAGAAAGCTTATTCCTTTATATCACAGAAACTGCTAATTAAAAATGAATTTTTTTATATTTATAAATTGGAAGTTATAATCATCTTTGAAAATATCTTGACATGCTGGGAAAGGATGATGTAATGAAAGTTCAAAGAAACAGATGATCCTTGTCAAGTCGAAAATGTTTAAAAAAAAAAAGGGTTTCCCACAGCCCTGTTTAGAAGTGTTAAAGATTTATTGATAAGGGCTGGGGATGGGGCTCAGCCATAGTGCACTTGCTTGGCATGTGTGAGGCACTGGGTTTGATTCTCAGCACTGCATATAAATAAATAAATAAATAAACAAATAAATAAATAAATAAAGGTCTATCAACAACTCAAAAAAATTAAAAAAAAATTTATTGATAGATGGAATTCCATCTACTGGGAAGATTATGATGAACTTTTAGTGTAATTTGTGTTATGAATTTATAGTTTAGAGCTATTTTCAAATATGAAATTACCATGTTGAATATGCTCTTTTGATTTACACATACCCTCCCAAGAACTATATTCTCAATCACTATTGAGAACTTCTAATAAAGTTCCTTCCTCCATTTTAGTTATGGTTCACATACTCTAGAAAAGTTATAGGCACTGTGTACTCAGTGTAGCAACCCCCATCATTTCACACATTAGGAAACTGAGACTCTCAGAATCCAGTGGCTTGCCCAGTTCCCCAGCTCATGAGTACTCAGTTGGAATGACAGTTTGAATCTTGATTTCCAGTGTAGAATCCTTTCTACTTCTATGCCAATTTTTTTTTTTTTTTGGTGGGGGGTTAAAAATGATTTTTGGATTTTTAATAAGTTGCCTTGTTTTGATTATTTTTCTGTAGGCATGATTACAGTTGAATTAAGAGATATAATTTGGAGATCTGTAAAGTTAGATTCAACTGGCCACCAAAGCAGAGGCCAATCTGAAGCAGTCAGGCCTGTTAAACAGATTACTATGTACTGGGCAATTGTTATTTTGTAGATGGGGAGAATAATTTGTTTTCATAGCCTATTTATTAAAGCCAGGTAGTTTGTCTGCCATTTTGGCTACTATAACCTATTAGCTGACTACTATCAAAAGGAATGAATTTACTCAATTGATTATATTGCTACAAATCAGTAAAAAAAGACCCTAAAAATTTAGATGCCTAAAAGTTATTTGAGATATCAGTGCACAAGGAAGAGATATTGTATCCAATTTGTTTTTACTCTCTGAAATTATTCTCAGTAGAAATTTTAGAACTTTTTTTTTAACCTTAAAAACGGTCAAATTTTATTTTAAAATGTGATAGCAAGATGGGGCTGTAGCTCAGTTGGTAGAGCGCTTGCCTAGCATGTTTGAGGCACTGGTTTGATCCTTAACACCACAAAAAAATAAAATAGAGGTATTGTGTCAATCTACTATAAAAAATAAAAAAATAAAAATAAAAACGTGACAAAGAAGAGGAGAAAAGAATTTCATATGGGTACTAGAAAACGTTTTATTTAGAGTAATGGATTTATTACTTATGTTGGTTATTGTAAAGCCTAAAATTCATTAATTAATCATCAAAATCTCCATAGTTTGAAAAAGGCAAATTTTATAAAAAGGAGAGTATTGAAAATTCTAAGTAAAAGAACAAAATTAAAAGATATTCAGAATGAACTAATGCTCAGTGTGTCAGTAATGTCAAATGTTGGTGCTTTAGTAAGAAATAAAATTGAAAGACTTGAGACATAAGTATTTATTAATTATATCTGTACTTGTATGTATATGTGTACAAAGGTCCCTCATTAAATGATGGGCATACATTCAAAGATATGCACTCAAAAGTGATTTTGTCATTTTTGCAAATATCATGCTGTGCGCTGACACTTACATTTTAAATTACTACATGCCTATGCTTTATAATGTAGCTATCATTATGCATAAAGTCCATCACTGACCAAAAGATCATTATGCCAAACATTGCTATATGTTATAAACTCAGAGAAATCAATGCACACCTCATATTGTTATGAATAGATAGACCTGTAGAACTAAAAAGAGAATCTTTAACAAAACATGTCCAGTTAGACAATGATAAATGAAAGTTTCCACTGCTGAGAAGTTGAAAAATGACATTTTTTTTTTTTTTTTTTTAAAGCTGCTGGAACAAGGGGGTATCATTTCCTGGCTTTCTGAGTGCTCCATGTTCTCCCTATGGTTCTTTCAGCACCTGCGTAGCATAGATACCAAGGGCTCCTGAGCCTAGGAGAGGGAGTCTAGAAACAGATCGCAAGAACAGCGGACTCCGGATACTCCACAACTCTTATTAATTTGTTTTAATTGTTATGAGCTGAGTGTCAAAGCCAATTAGATGGAATAATATACTGCTTCTTATTATGATGATGAAAGGCAGTTAGCATTCACTGAGTGTTTTACTAGGTTCCAGACACAGTACTTAGTCTGTCTTCTGTATACTTTCATAGTGACCATAGGCCTAGGTACTGGTGTCTCTGTTTTCAAGTTTGGGGACTCTAGCCTTTTCAGTCTACTACCTTTATAATCTACAAGTATGGCCAAAATATGCTTCTATTTATGTTTTTCATTGCTTTGTTGCTGGAAATGAAGGCAGAGAGGTTTAATTATGACTGTAGGTTTTCTTTTATTCTGCCCTTCATTCTTTTTTTTTTTTTTTAATTACTTCTTCTGTTTCTAAGGAGGAAAGGATTCTGGTTTTCCCATTCTCAAATTTATGAAGCTAGAGAGAGGCACTAGGAGGTGGAACTGAGAATATGAAAACTTGCTGCTTTAAATATTTCTTGTGTGTGTTTCTTCTCTGCACCCTGGAGTTATCACTAGCCCATGACTTTTTATGTCACTGTCTCTTTTAGGACTTTTTTTTTTTCACTTTAAACACAGAAAAATTATTTTTTTTATTCTGTCTTAAGGTTAAAGTCAATTTTTGACTCAAATAACACAAATATAATTCAGAAAGGAATTGATGGAAAGTTTGTTGAAGAAATGACAAATGTGTATTATAACCAAGTACACATCTCAATTCACAGTATTACTCTTTTTTTTAAAAAAATTTTCATTTGTTCTAACTTTTTAGATAGTGTAAATATGAATCCCAGGCCTATATTACAAATTCCCATAGAGATCTCCTCTCAACCCCACCCCTACCCCCCCCCCCACACACATACCAGAGGACTAATTGAAAACACGAGCTTGTGATTAGAATTTGGGGATTGAACTTTCACTGAAGATATATCCTTTGAACAGGGGTCCTGGCCTCCTTTGAGATACTAATTTCCAACCACCTGTATTTTGAAGCCACAAAGCCTTGGATCCTATCCTCCTTAAAGTGAAATGCATCCACTTGATGATGTTGACAGTCTTCTCCAGCATCCCTCCACACTCCCTAGGTCAGACCTGCTGCAGCATCAGTTCATGTGCACTATGAAGAGCATCTGTGGATCCCTCTTCACATTGGAACCTTTGGGAATTTATCATTGTTAAGAAGGCTCAGTGAAGCAGGTAGAGGGGTGTTTATTTTACCTAATATTTGTAGGTGTTTATTATCATGAAGGAATTTGCTAAAAACAAAAGCCTCAGAGGATTCCTTGTATGTGCCTTTCCCCTACTTCTCTCCCATGCTTAGAAATGACATCTGTAGAGTCTCTAGGAAACAGGTCCCCGGCATGAAGCACCTCCAATGCTTCCAAGGCAAAGTATCTGCTCCAAGAGTTTGCATGGTTATTGTTTTTACATATACTTTGTTTTCTACTTTATCTTTGTTTATAACAGGCCAGGAACCTACCTTGAAGTCAATATTAAATCAAATAGAAGATGAGATCATTGTAGTAAATGAACTTCTGAATAAATTTGAATTGGAAATTCAGCATCAGGAACAAACCAACACTTCACTCAAGGTACTATTTTCCTAATGAAGAAACAAAGTAAAAAGGCAACAAATACAAACTCCATAATTACCAGCTAATCTGGAAGCATTCTTTATGTTTATAATGTTCTTAGCTTTGTAAATTATTAATGGTGTGAAGTGCTGTTTGTATTTTATGATCCTAGTATAAAGGATTCTGAGCACAGCTATTTCTTCATGCCAGTGGAATTGAACTTTACTAAAAAGAAGAAATAATTCTTGGTAGGTTTAATGTAAGCAAATGGTCCCCTGGGAGAGTGATGTGTGAAGAATACCTTCCTCAGGTGAGAAGATGTGGGTTCTCACAATGGCTGCCTTTGGCACCCTCTGCCATACCAAGAAAGCCACTTTACCTCTTGAGATCTCAGGATCTGCATTTAAAAAATAATACTGGGTTATTTCTTAGTCTTTTTAAATTTCTATATTTCTACATTTTTGTAAAATGTAATATAAGGGTTCTTCAGTAAAGGAAAATTTGAGCCTCACTTATATGTACATTTTGTTCTAAATAAGACTTCTAATTGACTTCAGCTAATAAAGGTGCTGTATACTTCCTAATGAAAAAATACTCAGTCTGTACAGTAATTACCTCTTGGTGTTTTTAGGGCCATTGATGTGTTCAGTGGGGCTGAACAACCTGGCCTCTGGTCCCTGTCAGACTTGTAATCCTTATGTAAAGACTTTTCAGCTATAGGAATGGGTATAATCATCTATCTATATATGTATATGTATGTATGTGTGTGTGTGTGTATATATATATATACACACACACATACACACACATATATATATATACACAAACACACACATTATTAGTCCACATGAAATTAGTGTCTATGAGCATCATTTAACTCTTCAAAAGAAAAGATGTCATAAATTCAAATTTGAAGCAGTATCACTATTTCAACTCTGTTCTATCCAAGAATGCCCAGGATTTGTGGTAAACCTAGAGAATGTTCAAATGAGAACTGAAGGATATTTGGAATTTCTGTTTACATTATGATTGGGAGCCAGATAATAGGAATCTAATAGGTACAGAGTATTCTCATTAAAGTTTGCATAATTTCATTTCCTCAAATTCTAGCAGCAGTTAAAGATTTTTTAAAATTCAGTTATGATCTAGTAGAGATATTCATTAAGCTGGAATGTATGCATGATCACATGAAATCATTCCAAGCAGCATTTCGTAGTTGTCATCTGTGTAGGCATTGTCACTTGGTACTGTCATATATGTAACACTGGAGAATGCAGGTTAAGTTAGCAAAAGCAGTTTATCAGAATGAAAAAAAGATCAGTCTTTCATCTATTTCTTAGTTGCTTCCCAAGGTTAAAGTATTGGAAAGACTTAAACCTCAATCTTGCTTTGTAATGTAGTTATAGTGATTTTTCTCTGATGAAGTCTAGTAGGGAACAATATTATATCACTGTCCAAAAAGCTCTAGAAGCCAAAACTCTTGTTTATTATTTGTTTTTTTCCTCTGGTTTCAGGCATCAAACCTAGGGCCTCATACCTGTGCAAGCTTGGTGGTTCATCACTGAGCTATAACCACAGCCCCTAATTTTTTTTTTTTTTTTTTAATAAATATTGCTGTACCCAGTGATTTTTTTTCCTCTTTCATTCTGTATCCTCAAACCTCACAATCACTGTGATTATGGTTCATAGTTTTTTTTTGTCTTTATAATATAACACACAGGAAGCAAATTAATGAGCATTTAAAAATTTTAGGAACTCTGTGAGTCTCTTGAAGAAGACTATAAAGATGTGGTACATCTCAAAGAAAATATTCCTTCCCATTTGCCTCAAGTAAACGTAACCCAGAGCTCGTAAGTATACTTATAATTATTTTTCTTGCTATCTGGATTTAAACCCATGAAAACAAATATCTCAGAGCCATTTTCTCTATCATGTGCTTGTTATTTTGTTGGTTGTCATCCATTTTCTTTTTTTTTTTTTTTTGTCATGAGTAGTAGAAACTATATGTCCTCCTATTTTCACCAGTTTTCTTATCCTGCATCTCTGAGGAATATTTTTCCCTACTTGAAGTGCGTTTTTGAAATAAAATATTGGTGGCCGAGAACTGGAGAGATGGGAAAGGAGAAATAATAGAAGACAAAACATAGGCCCTCCCAAATTATAAAGACAGAAGATGATGGAAGATCCTGCTCGAGTCAGGCAGTGAGAACAAGGGAAGGAAGGGCAGACAAAACCTCAGAGAGGCAGAATGGACAGTGATGGCTAAGAGACATGAGGCAGGCTCCTGTGGGGCAGGCTTCTGAGGGGCAGGCTCCCGAGGCTCTCTTCTCACTCGTTCTTTCTCTTAGAACAGTTTCTCAGCCTCAGCCACATTGCTATTTTAGGCAGGTAGTTCCTTGTTGTGAGATTAGGGTATTCAGTAGCATCCCTGATTTCTACCCTCTGGATGCCAGGTGCATCCCTCCTCCATACCCAGTTGTGGCAATGATGGTCTTTAGACATTGCCAAGTATCCTCTGCAGGCATATTATCCCTGGACCGCTTTAGAGTAAGAATAAACTTGATAAATTTCTCTTCTGAAAAATAGCTAAAGAAACACTCAACTTAGCTCTTTCCCCGCTCCTGTTTTGCTGTCCTTTCTCCCAGGAGTCCTAGTGCCTAGCTCTTCATTACCACCATTCTTATGAAACTGATGGCTTGCAGGTCATGAAGAGGTTGAAGTCCCTCTAGTCCTGGTTCTACTTTCCAGGTCCTGCATTGTCTACCCCTATAGAGATGCTGCTTCTGCACTGTGGTTGGTTCCTTAGGTGTCATCCCATCTGACCTGGCTGCTTGCTTTTCCTCTGCCATTCCATAAATTACAAGTGTCTCCTGAAGCTATTTATTCTTGCTTACCTAACCCTATTGTTAACACTCACAAATGTCCAGTTCCAGTCATGACACATCTTTGATTTCGTGGCCTACTGGGAATCTAATGAAGGAAATATTTTCTCTTTGAACTTTGCAAGTCTAGAGAAGAACTCACCAATTGTCTTATTACTCATCACCCAACCTGCTGGTCCTGTCCTCCCATCAAGTAGCAGGAACTTAGCATCCTTACTTTGCCTCACTGTCTTGTAGCCATCACTGGTCCATTCTGCCTCTCTGGGGTTTTGTCTGTCCATCCTTTTCCTTATTCTTACTGCCTGACTGTATTAGATCTTCCATCATTTTTTGACTTTAAGATTTGGGAGGTCCTGTGTTTTCTCTTCCAGTATTTCTTCTTTCCCATGTCTTCTATTCTCTGCCACCAAAATTTTACTTCTAAAAAGTACTTTGGGTAGATAAAAACATTCCATGACCCAATTAAAGAAACAGAAAAGTTTTGAAATGTATCATATATACAGAAAAGTGATTAAAGTATTACTTTTACAAATTGAAGAATAATGATACAAACATCCGTGTGTCTACTAGCCAACTTAAGAAACAGAACATTACCAATACCTTAAAAATACTCCTAATGCAGACCCTCTCTCTCTGTCACAGAGGTACTGACTTTCCTGTCTTTGAGGACAGTCCTGCCTTTGCATGTGTGTTTCCACAAATACTATATTGTTTAAACTTGGAAAACTGAAAGGCAAACAGTGAACCTTGCCACTAGGAAAAGAGTTATAGTGCTGTTGATAGTTGAAGGTCTCCAGGAATGAAAGCTCTTCAGTGTCTCTGGTTGTGATCAGCATGCCTGAGAATTTTACTGCAAGAAGAGAAGACTAGTGGACAAGGTTATGAGAGAATACTAGAGAACAGAGTCATCACCCTATATCTTCAGGATTGTAGTATGTGCCAGACTTTAGACATCTGGCAGGAATATGACAGGAGAACAGGAGTTCACTGAGGGTTGAAATTCTCTGGGGGTAGGTCAAGCAGGACCTTTCTGTAGGTTGAAATGATTGTTGTTGAATGATACACGCAACACGGCTTGCAGGAGCAATCTGGCGCTTACTTAGCATATGGTGAAGACAAGCAAGTATAGGAAAAAGTAAGGCAGTTTCTCAGTGGAGTCTCACATTAGCATTCACATTAGGATGATGATATCTTCACATTGGGCATCTTTATCTCAATAGCCCACAACAGCCATTTGGGCCCACCTGATTGCTCTCTGTCTGGTGCTCAGCTGTAGTCTTGGGGATTCCCTATGCTTGCTTCTGTGTTGGATTTGTTGTTTCCTGGTGTTTTCTTTCTTGTAGTGGTCAAGCCACTATGGCCACAGAGTTTTGTTCCTTCCCTGGCAGTTAAACAGCCTAGAAGCTACAGTCTTTCTTGAGCTACATCAGGCTTTTCATTAAATAAATTTAGGCGGACTGAATATAGTGACCCGTGCTCATTGCTGGCAACAACTGACACAAGCAACAGGATGAATTAGAATAAATGGAGGTCTAAGATGAGTAATGTTGGCAGTTCAGAACTATGGAAGTTGGGAAGAGATGTCTAGCATATATCCTATGTAGTCTATGTTTCAGGTATGTGAGTAAATATAACTGTATTATTGAAGAATTGGGGACTAATCTTTTTTTTAACATTTCCTTCACTATTTAATCTTAATAGTGAAGGGATAGGAAAAATGTTGGCTATAAAATTATTATAACAGGATGAATCATGTGTTTATTGATTATTTTCAGTTGGGAAAAATTTCCAGGATACTGCTTAATTCTGACAATTACCTGTACATATGTACATCTCTATTTTTTAGGGTTAAAGGGCCAGATCTTGACCCTGATGGACCAGTCAAAGTTGAGGAATCTGTACCCATAAAGAAGACTCCCAAAGAACAAAAAAGTATTAATAGTATTAAAGAAATGCTGTTTATAACTACTGAGGAGTTCAATGGTGTTCCTGCGTAAGTTGTTTTTTGGGTACTGGGGATTGAACTCAACTACTGATCCAAATTCCCAGCACTACTTTGTGTTTTATTTAGAGAGAGTCTCACTGAGTTGCTTAGCTTTTTGCTGAAGCTGGCTTTGAAGTCATGATCTTCCTGTCTCAGCCTCCCAAGCTGCTGGGATTACAGGCATGCACTACAGTGCCCAGCCCAAGATAGATTTTAATGTTTAACTCTTGAATAGTCAACATACATGATTATTTAGATCATGAGGACTGATTATATTAATTGTAATATGTGGAGTACAAATCCTAGTCTTATCTAAAATATTTTTGCATTGTGTTATGAAAAGGCAGGAAATGTTTTGTTGAAAATGCTCAAAATCAGGTTTTTTTGTTTAGTTGTAAAAATCTCTTTTCATGGAAATTTAGAGATTTTGCTTATGTCTTCTCTAGGACCATTCTGTGATACAGATTTACCTAAGTATATCAGTTTTGTGGTAGTTTTAAATTGAGTGTGTGTGTAGATTTGAGAATTAGAACAGAGTACATGTGTGGTTTCCATTTATCTCTTGTATCACATCTTGTTGAGTCTGTGCTATATTCTAAGCCCCTTGTCACTGAGGAGACACAGGAATGAATAAGACGAGATGCCTCCCCTAGAGGGAGGTTTCCTTTGCTTGTTACAGATGGCAGTAATGGAGAAGTAATTATGGAAATCCCTGCTCTTAAACTCTCCTAATTCTGGGGTTTTGTGTAACTTCTAAGTTTTATATTATGTTACATTTATTGTTCCTTTTATTACAAATAATATATAGAGAGTTAGAAAATATTTATTGTCAGAAAATAAAACTCATTTGTAATTCTACCACTCAGATAAGACATGGTATTTCTTTCTAGATTTTATTTTATTACACACACATAACAGGTATTTCTGATTGTTTTTACAATGTAGTTAAACTATAATTTACTTTTTTTTAATATGGAATTTTTTCTTCATTAATTATCACTGAAAACTTGGATTTTAATAGTTGTGTAATATTTCATTACGTAACCATCCTATAATTTATTTAAGGATTCCTTTTTTTAATATAAAACTTTTAATTGGGTTGTTTATTTTCTTATTGTTGAGTGAAAGTTCTTTTCGTATCTTTTCTTCTATGGTGGTCCCATTGTATGCCATACATTTTGTAATTGCCCCACAGTGCTTGGGTTTTCTGTTCTGTCCCTTGCCCCCACCCTCCGAAATATGGTTTGAGAAGTTTGTATTGACGTATCTTCAAGTTCACTAATTCTTTGCTTAGTTGTGTCCGGTCTGCTGATGAGCCCATCAAAAACTTCTTCATTTCTGTTTGAGTTTTTAAATATCTAGCATTTTGTATTGATTCAGGAGTTCTCTCTATTTTCTTTACCCATTTGTTCTTGTATTTTGTTCTTTTTAAATTAAAGTCCTTAGAATATTAAACAGTTATTTCATTTAGCAGTTTGATTCTTCCAAAATCTGTTATTACTGAGTCTGCTTCTGATGCTTGCTTTGTCTCTTCAGACCATGCTTTTTATCTTTTTATTATGCCTTGTAATTTTCTGTTGAGAGGTTAGGCTTAATCTCCAGCACGCCTTGCCCCCCTCCACCCCCCACCCCTCCCCAAAAAAGCAAGCTGCATGGAGTGTACCTGGTAATAAGAACTGAGGCTTCTAGTAAGAGGGTTTTTGTTGCTGTGTTTAGGAGCTGGGCTGTTAATATTTGCTATAGAGTATTCAGTTTCTTATAGTTTCTATTGTTTGTCTTCCCTGTTGTTTTTGGATTCCCCTAGGAACTCCTTCTTGAATAGATTCTGACTTGTAGCTTGCTCAATTTTGATCCACTATTAACATTAGGGCCTTGTTGGCTGGTGGTAAACTATGGTAAAGTAGGAAGCATTATATCATCTGGTGGTTAATTCTCAGGCTTTTCAGTGGGTTTGACCAAGGTCTGACTCTGGTTTCTTAGCTAGAGGGCCTAAAGTTCTGTGATTACCTCCCTCTAGGTCCCATAAAGCTCTGTTAGTTTCTCTTGAGGACAGACCATTGGAGAAGAGAACTGCTCTAGGTATAATTCACAATAGTTATTTTTCCTTGAGCTATCTCAAAATGATTATGTTTTCCCTCATGCCGTTAAAAGAGAATTTTTCTTTGAACTGCACCATTAAAAGCTGGGAGGGGGAAGCTATCTTAGAGATAAAACTAATGAGCATGGGGGGGCTTCCTAAGCTAGTCCCCAGGGTTTTTTAGATTTCAAACTAATTCAAAATGAACCTTAGCGATTTATCAGTTACTGTTAAAATATTCTTGTAGTTACTAGTTCCAGTGGCTTCTCTTCCCAGGAAGCTGAATTTCTCAGTATTTCCTTGTGATTTCAGTTTTGGGAGCCAATGCTTTGCCCTAGAACCTCAGTTCTCTAATGGATTGAAGAAGAGTTATGGTTTTAGTTTGTTCTTGAGAAGACTGGAAAGAGGAGAGGAGTTCAAAGTTCTTACTATCGGAGTTCTACATCCCCATTTTTATTCCTATTAATAGTGGATAAATGAGAATACCCATCTTGTCTCAGCCTTGCTAGCATTACCTACTGTCTTAAAAATTATTGCCAGGAAGTCCCTGAAAGATATCTGCTACAATTTTGAGACAAGTATTGAGGCTGACATTTCTCTTTAGTCTTTTTTTGTTTCGTCACTCCATCATTTCCTTTACTGACAACTTTATTTCCACAGAATCAGTTTGACACTTCTAATGCTGTTCAGTTTTGCTTGTAGTTATTGCTGGTCTTCACCTGAGCTACTTTTTTTTATCCGGAATTTTTTCTTCATTAACTATCACTGAAAACTTGGGTTTTAATAGTTGTGTAATATTTCATGCGTGAGGCCCTGGGTTCGATCCTCAGCACCACATAAAAATAAATAAATAAATAAAGATATTGTGTTCATCTACAACTAAATAAAATATTTTAAAAAAAAGATGGGGGATGGATTCAGAGGAAATAAAGTGATAATCAAGAGGACCTGGAGGAATTCCTAAGTGCATTCTGGAGAGCAATGGTATTCGAATCGAGTTTGGAAATTGTGTTTAGAAAAAAACTGCTGCAGAAGTTTGGGAAAAAGAGGAATGATGAAAATGAATGCTTTGGGAAATATGAGCTTTCTCCTTTAAATTACTTTATTATTTTATATTAAAGAACTTTTTTAAAAAAATATTTTTATTTGTTGTTGATGGACCTTTATTTTATTTATTTATATGTGGTGCTAAGAATTGAATCAAGTTAGGCAAGAGCTCTACCACTGAGCCACAACCCCAGCCCAATACTAAAAAACTTTTCATTGGAAAACTGCCACCTTGAGTAGAAACTCTTTGACAGAGTTCAACATGATGAACTCACCATGGGATACTATCCGTAAATTATTTGAGCTTATTTGTGCATCTTCACTTGGCCTTGAGCCAGGAAGATTTAGGTTTGGCATTGCAGACTATTTTGTGACTCCTCCCACTCAATGGATTGCACAATGCATGTGACCTCTGTCCTTGCTTTGCTAGGGAGACCACTCTCATAGCTGCAGAGTGGGGTGTAACCCATTGGAAAATGGACAGCCCACCTCCTACCTTATTTGGCAAAAGAACATCCAATGAAAAACCTTTGATGCTTCCCACATATAAATAAAGCAAATGGGCTTTTGTTCTCTCTTTCCAGTGTGGAAGCTCGAAGCCTAAGGTTGAAGAGCTGTCCCATCCCCACTTTCTAACATTATTTCCTGTGTCCTGTGGTTTCTTTGCTATTTTTCTCTTTCGTAACTTTATTTCAGAGCCAGCTTGCTACTTGCAGAGGAACCCCGAATTTCATTGCCCACAGAGGACTCGGGCAAGAAACACAAAGCAACAGCTTGTTGAGGGGAGAATGAGGCAGATGATTGAGTTTTGGTTTTGGTGTGTCCAGAACCCTCAGAGTTGAGAGTTTCTGATTTTTATATTCTGAATCCTTGGTAACAGGACAGACAAACATGGAAGAAACAATTCTTTGAAGGACTTTGAGGTAGCCAGTAGAAAGGAGCATGGCTACAGACTGCTTTTGTGCTGAAATTCGGAAGCCTCTTATTCTTTATGTCCCCTCCTTAGCAGTTCTTCTTTGTCATTGTCATCTTCTTTCCTGTGGCATTTTTAACCTCATCTTCCCTCCCCCGCCCCCCCCATACACACACACACTGAACACATACTGTTTTCAGAAAATGATGCTACAGGTTGTATACTTTCTCAACATTGAAATTTTTCTTTGCATACATTTTTAAATGCCTAAATAAATACATCTTGTGGTTAGTTAGTTCATTTAAATTAGAATTTGCTTATTTTGAGTGTAAATATTGTATAGGTAGAGAATAGAAATTGATTAATGCATCAAGATATGAAGTAGGGAAGCTAGGCACTGGTATGTTGCCACCTCAATTTAGTTTTTCAGCTGTTGAGATATGTCTGTTATATTTGAGAGTTGATATAAATTGTTTTTAAAAGGGCTTTTTAAAAAAATATAAAGGACATTTGGGCCGAAATTGTAACTCAATGGTAGAGCGCTTGCCTAGCATGTGTGAGGCATTGGGTTCAATTCTCAGCACCACATAATAATAAATAAAATAAATGTCCATCAATAACTAAGAAAATTTTAAAAAATATATAAAGGATATTTTGCTACAGTACAAATTTGTATTTTTCAAAGAAAGTAATTTGAAAATGTATTTTTTTTACAGGTACATGAAATCCCGCTTAACCTATTGTCAAATCAATGATGTTATTAAAGAAATCAACAAAGCAGTAGTTAGTAAATACAAGATTGTACATCAACCAAAATCATCTATGAATTCTGTGGCCAGAAATCTCTATCAAAGATTTATTAATGAAGAAACAAAGGACACTAAAGGTAAAATGATTTGCATATACATGTACCTGTCAACTGTTGGGAGTCTGATTAATTATGAACAGCAAAGGTGATTCTAGAAAATTCTAAATCTAGATAGTTAAATCTCAACCAGGGCAGTTTTCCAGCTAACAACATTTGTCATGCTGGAGACATTTTTAGTGGTAGCAGCTGGATAAAGGGTGCTCCTGGCCTCTAGTGGATAGGAGCTAGGAGTGCTGCTCAAACACCCTACAAAGCATAGAACCGAGCCCAACATGGCTAATGCTGAGGAACACTGCTTTAGAGTCTGTTTTGAAACTAAACCCAAAGTTTTGAGAATTAGAATTGTAATGATGCTAGTTGGTCCTGCTTATATAGCACTTACCCTGTGCCAGAGAATGTGCTGAAGTCTGATCCTCACACATCCCTATATTATTTTGCAGATGAGAGTTTAACTTATCCTAGGTCATCCGCTTGAATGGTAAGGCTACTCCATTCTGTTAACCACCACCATATAATGCCTCTTGATAAGTGAATTGTTCAAGAGATACCATCAGGCAGCTGCTAATCTAATAAGCAGGGTCACCGTACTGAAATATGCAATTTTAGTAAGAATAATTAGTTTAGCAAGAATATAATTTTCTCACTTTGATTGGATAATGACAGTAAGAATGACTAATGTCATTTATATTCAAACTTTAATGCCTTAAAGACTCATCTTAAAAGTTGTCTTCATAAAAGTTAGCACTAACATTTTTATTTTCAGGACAGTATTTTATAGTGGAAGCTGACATAAAGGAATTCACAACTTTGAAAACTGACAAGAGATTTCATGTGATCCTGAATATCTTGCGACACTGCCGGAGGCTGTCAGAGGTCCGAGGGGGAGGACTTACCCGTTATGTCATAACCTGAGACCATTGTAAGCTTTGGAATTAAACAGTAGGGTATAGGAGCTAGTTCTATGATTTTCTTATATATAATTTCTTTAGCTTTTCATTTTCAATTTGTTTCTTATAGAAACAAGATCTTTTTGGATAAAGTATGTATATTTTAAAGTTCACTTCTTTTCAGCAAATATTTAATCACCTACCACATAAGCCTCTCTACTAGGCACATCATGGACTAAACTTGCTCATGTCTAGTTTTGTGCTAGATGCCGTGAAACAGGTATAGATGTGATATTGCAAGAAAAAATCAAGAAGATGAGGTCAAGGATACCCAGGCCCTTTGAAACTAAATGTCATTCATGTCAAATTCCATCAAAGGCATTTCAGCCTCCAGGTGACTTCCTAGAAGTGGATTTGAAGGTGGCTTATCTGATTATTGTGCTTTTCCACATGTCCTTAGGGACCAGCTCACCTAAAATGTATTCAGTATAACCCAGTCTGTAGACTTCAGCCTGTAATGAAAGTATATCAAGATAATGTAATGTCATGATGGAATAAATTTATATTTGTTATTCATCCTTGGTTTTTTGTTCAGAGCTCCTAAAACCCTTGTAATGTCCTGAGGGATAGGGATACATCTTTTGTACTCACTGGTCTTTGGCCTCAGTTCCTGATACAGGGCTCTTAAATCCCTTTGAATTTCCTTGCAACAGGAGCCTTTTGAGGGGGCTGGGGTTGTAGTTCATTGGTAGAACACTTGCATAGCAAGTGTGAGGCACTGTGTTCAATCTTCAGCACCATATAAAAATAAATAAACAAGAGGTATTGTATCCATCTTCAACTAAAAAATATATGTTTAAAAAAAGGTGCATTTTTTGTTATAACAAGACAATTCTTGGTGGGCTCCTGGACAGCAGTGGATGGGGTCTGGTCACAATGACTAGATGGCTGCAACTTTTAGCTCCCCAGCTATCCCCAGGGAGGGGAGAAGGCCTGGAAATAGTGTTAGTGATCAATCATGCCAACTTTATGAAGTCATAAACATTTTTAACCTGTGGACTTCGAAGAGTTTCCAGGTAGGTAAACATTGATATGCCAGGAGGTGTTGCACCCCACCTGTACAAGGATAGAAGCTTCTGTACTTGAGGCCCTTCTGGAAGTCACTCTGTGTACCTCTTCAATTGGCTGCTTATCTGTATCCATTATAATACCCTTTATAATAAACTGGTAAACATAACTATTTCCCTGAATTCTGTAGTCTTAGCAAATTATCAAACCTATAATGAGGGGAAGTGGGAACCCCTGATTTGTAGCTCATTGAGCAAAAGTATGGGTAACTTGGGGACCCATTAGTTTGAGTGGTGTGTGAAATAGAGACAGTCTTATAGGACTAAGCCCTTAACTTGTGGGGTCTCTACTAATTCCAGGTAGTTAGTGTCAGAATTGAATTGTAAGACACGCAGGGTGTCCAGAGAGTTGGAGAATCTGATGGAGTTATGGGTATGAAGCATCCCCCCAAAACTCCTGTGTTAATGCAGGAATAATCAGAAGTGGAATGACTAGATTATGAAAGCTGTAACCTAATCGGTCCATGCTAGTTTTAATGGACTAACTGGGTTTAACTGTAGGCAGGTGGGGTGTGGTAGAAGCGGGTAGGTTACTGGGGGAAGGCCCTTGAAGGGTACTTCTTCCCTGCTGGGGTTGGAAAGGTCTTTCCTAACTGCTATGAATGGTGCAATATTCCTCCACCAAGCCCTTATACCTTGATATTTTGCCTAATTTCAGGCTCAGGCCCCAGAGCTATAGAGTAGGCTGACCATGAACAACTCTGAAACTGTGAGCCAAAATAAACTTTTGTTCCTCAGTATGGTTCTTTGTCAGGTATTTTGGTCACAGCAACAAAAAGCTTACTAACATGGAGAGAACTCCACATGTTTGGAGTCAGAAGTATTATGTGAATGTAATATAGAAGAAAACAGTGAAGGTTTTCCCTGTTGAGATAAAAATGATGGCAAGATAATGTGTGCAGAGGTTGATGGGGATGATGTGAATGTGGGTAATTGGATTTTAAGACCTGAGCCCTGTTCTGCACCTGGTTAGACAGTCTGGTCTATCTGTGGCCATGCCATCTGCTTGGCAAGCTCATCCCTGCAGCGGAGAAAAAAATGTGTCATCTGGCCTCGTGTTAACACCCTCACTAGTGTATATACCACAGAGTATAGGCACTGATTACTGATCCTTTCTCCTTAATTCACGTGCAGGCAAGTTGTATTTTTATGCCTCAATTTAAATATTAATGATGGCATTGTCCTTTATTTTGTTTTTAAGTCTTGCTTCATGTTTTTCTATGAATCATTTTTCCCTATGAAAATCCTTCTCTGTTTAAAGTATTCCTTCCTCCACAGCTGAACAACTGTGTCAGCAAGTTTGTTTCATTTTTTACTAAATGGATACTAAGATGAATAGTTAGTCTCTATCTTATTCATTAGCACATAATTGATTTATTGTATAAATTTAGGTACATTGTTGATAAAATTATATCCCATGAAGAATAATGATGGTATTAATTTTAAAATAAGAACTAATTTCTTATTCCAACTTCATTTTCAAGCAAAACAACAGGTGGTTCTTATTTGTTTCTTGAAAATCACACTTTTAATCTAATTTTGAGAGACTTTGTAGTCCTAAGTCTGTGCCCTCAGCTCATTGCTGGCCCTTTCTTTGCTCCATCTATTTAGGGAGCATGTCCCAGTGGGCTGGCTCTGACAGATTCTGCAGAGCCTGAGGCCATGTGTGCTCTTTCCTGTTCTCATGGTGCTGTGGCAGTAGACACCCAGAAACTTCTGAAGCTTCTGTGAATGTTGGTTGTAAGATACTAGTATTTATTTGATTTACAATCCAGAGGGTGAGTGGGGATGTTATCAGACCTCCCCACTTAATTGGCTACATGACAGGCCAGTTAAACCTAGAGACAAAGTGTTAAGTCAAGGAATGCAACTTTAAGACAGAGAACACTTGCCCAAAATCTATCTTGCTGGGAAGCTGATGTATGAGTAGTTTATATAGGAGGATGATGGGTGTTTGTAGACTGGTGGCCACCTTCTCTTTGCTGGTGAGGGTTCCAGGTTTATGACGAGATGATGCATGCCTGAATTTTTTAGAGGGAGAGAGTACAGAGAATTTAACCCAGGGGCAATTACCACTGACTTACATTTCCAGCCCTTTTTATTTTGAAACAGGGTCTTGCTAAGTTGCTTAGGGCCTTGATAAGTTGCTGAGGCTTGCCTTGAACTTGTGATCTTCCTGCCTCAGCCTCCCAAGCTGCTGGGGCACACCTGATCTTAATTGCCCAGTCACAGGATGTTTTTTAGTTCTGGACATTTTAAGAAAAACAGTGATCGTTTTTACTCACTGATTGGATCGCTTGTGCACCATTCTAGGCATGCAATGGACAGGCTGGAAGTAGTAGCTGGCCAGGAAAAAAATACAAGCATGCTCAACTTCTGGTAGGCACACCCAGAGTGAGAACAAGGAGTTTATTCAAACCAAAATGGCGGTGGCCGCCTAGGAAACATAAGGTCCAGACTCAGAGCTCCAAAATGGCCCTGGCCCAGGATCTGGTTGTATAGATGAAGAAAAACAAGAAGGGGGTTACGACAAGTGGGTCTGCAAGCATTGTACAGTCATTGATTTATCATTGCTCATTTATGTCATACATTCCAGTAAGGAATTGTGACAAGTGGGAAAGGCTTTTTTTATTTATTATCTTTATGGCGCCAGGGAGGTGGCAGAAATATGGCATGCCAAGTCAGAACAACCTAGGTGACTTATTTTCATGCCTCATGTTTTCCCTGGGCTAAAGAATTTTGTGGCCTCATTCTTGTGATACTTTAAATTCTTTATCATGATAAAATCTTCAGTTCTTTTATAAATTCTGTTTTTTTAAGGAAAGTTTATATATAACCACTCCCCTATTTTTTTTTTTTTTACCCCAGGAAACACAGGCTAGTTAGAAATGATCTTGGGAACTACCACCTCAATCCCGTTCTATTCCTCCAGGGTACATTTTGTGCCCCATACCTCTCTTCGTTGCACTGTGTTCTGGCCTCTCTCCTAGGCAGGCTCTACTCTCAAGACTCTCCTAGGTACGTTCTGTCCCCTGGACTTCCCCTGGGTGTACTTTACACCTGGCCCTGTCTTAGGTATGCCTGTCCTCCTTTATGTTAACTGAGTGTGTGGGTGTCCTTCAGATTCTTTTGGCCTCATCTCAGTCTTGACTGGTGCTGCCACAGGCACTGGCACACATGACAGTCTCCTCCTCCCCCGTGCGATCGTCAAGCTCTGGCTTCCTTGGCACACACTATTGGGGCAGCCTCTGTGGTGCCAGTTCTCAAACCCAACCCAGCTAGCTGTGGAAGTTCTGGCTTCTCCTCCTGGACTCGTGAAGCAGCTGGCCACAGGGTATGGACATTGGCTTCCCGAGCAGCTGCTTGAGGAGGCCAGGTGACAACCCAGATTTGTGAGGATACACCCATGGAAGGTACTTTCCCAGTGAGAGAGGAGATGAAGTGGCAGATAAATCCTTTGTACCTCTTTTTGAGATACTGTTCCAAAGAATAGTTTTTCTAACCTGCCTGTCCGGCGACATCCTGTGTGACTGAGTGGCTATGCCGATTGTGGGGTCATGGAGCAGCGATGAGCTTAGGTTGTTATCACTTTGGATTTGCTTTCCATCTTTCCCTGTCTTGGGTCTCTTTTCCCTCACTCTTGCTGCCCCGGGCATGGAACCCCCAATAAATTGTTAGCCTTGCTCTGGGAACCTTTTGCCAAGATAAAGCTCAGAGACCTGTAGTTTTATGTTTCCCAAACTGCATGTTTTGAGGACTAGTGTCTCAATATAGTAGGTGGTTTTTAAAAGGATTCTGTGGGGGCTGGGGCTGTAGCTCAGTGGATGAGCATTTGCCTAGCATGTGTGAGGCACTGGCTTTGATCCTCAGTACCACATAAAAATAAACAAATAAAATAAAGACATGCTGTCCATCTATAGGTACAAAAAATAAATAAAAAAAGATTCTGTGGGTATAGGAGTTTGTGATATGTTCAGTTAAGTTGAACGGATTTTTTTTTTCTTGCCTGCTTAGGATCTAACCTAAGGCCTTGTGCATGCGAGGCAAGTGCTCTGTGCTAAACTATGCCCCAGCCCAAGTTAAATGGATTTTATTATTGCTCAACTTCTCATATACTTCACTATGCCCATTTGCATTATAAAGCTCCAGTAGAGACAATGTGTATGTTATTTCTTTAACTGTTTTTGAGGAATACATATTAATATCTCTGGCAGACTAATGCTCCATGAAATGCATTTTGGGACCTTGTTATAAGGCAATCTGTTTTGAAATTGTGCTCATTTTTATAAATGAAGTTCATTACCACAAGTCACTATTAGTAAATATATATATCACTTTCTGAGCAAGTATCATGTACTTTGGAATGAGAAGGCTGGTTGGAGTTTAAATCCTGGACATGCTGCTGATGAGCGGTGTGTAACCTGTGGCTGATGACTGAAGCAACAATCT